GCTGTGCTGATCCAAAGTCAGAAGCCAGGAGCTTCCTCCAGGTCTCCCACAGGGGTGTAGGTGCCCAAGGACTTGGGCTGTCTTCCACTTCTTTCCCAGACCATAGCAGAGAGCTGTATTGGAAGTGGAGCAGCCAGGACTTGAACCAGCTTGCATGTGGGATGCTGGCACTGCAGGTGGTGGCTTTACCTGTCAGGCCACAGCGCTGGCCCTGCAGGACCTGCTTTTTGAAGGGGGTTTTGAAGAGCAGGGCAAACAAGTAAATAAGCACACAAATGAGGTAACTTTCACTGGCAGGAAGTGTTGTAGACACAGCGACATCAGCTACCAGCATGGAAAGTGACGGGTTGGGGCCAGGATCATACTGGGGCTGAACATCGCAGACACAGAGAAGAGAGGGTGCAAAGGCCTGGCAAGTCCAATGAACGAGAGAAAGGCCTGAGCGTGGTGGGAAGAAGGCTGGCAAGGCCAGCAGCATAGAACACACGGGGTGTCACAGGCCATGGATGTGTCATTGTAAACTTTGGAGGATTGCGATCAGGGACACGGCATAATCCGGTTTATGTTTTTAAAGATCTCTTTGGCTGTTTGTGGAGAACAGATTATGGAGGTGACAGAGGAAGCAAGGGGACCAGGAAGGGGGCTCCTACAGCCACCAAGTGGCAGGCCAGGGGTGGGGAGGGAGCGAGAGACCTAGTTGGATTGGCGCATTTTGGAGAGACTGACAACACCTGCTGGTTTGGGCCCACAGGGATTCAGCACCATGGACAGCACCCACAAACCCCCAGCTCCTGGAGGCGTTCTTCAGATCCTGAGCTCCCTGAAGGTGGCCCTCGGAGCTCCTCCCCTGTGGTGTCTCTGCTGCTCTCTTGCTTGTGAGGGAGAGAGAGACACACACACAGAGGGTCAGACAAACCAAGTGAGCTCCCATCTGCTGGCCCACTCTCCACGTACCCGCGACAGTTGGTGTTGGGCCAGGTTGAAACCAGGAGCCCGTATCTCAATCTGAGCTCAATCTGAGCTTTGCACATGGGTGGTAGGAACCCAAGTACCTTTTTTAAAAAATATCTTATTTATTTATTTGAGAGGCAGAGTTACAGACAGAGAGGGAGAGACAGAGAAAAAGTCTTCCATCCTCTGGTTCACTCATCAAATGGCCACAGAGGCCAGAGCTGGGCTGATCTAAAGCCAAGAGCAAGCAGCTTCTTTTGTGTCTTCTACATGGGTTTTGGGGCCCAAGCACTTGGGCCACCTCCTGCTGATTTCCCAGGCCATAAGCAGAGAGCTGGATCACAAGAGGAGCAGCCAGGACTTGAACCAGTACCCATATGGGACGCTGGTGCCTCAGGCAGAGGCTTAACCTGCTATACCACAGTGCTGGCCCTGGACCCAAGTATTTGAGCCACCCCCTGCTGCCTGTCAGGATGCGCATTAGCACGAAGCTGGAGTAGGGAGTACAACCAAGACTTAAACCCAGGCACTACAATATGGGATGCACGGGTCTTAACTGCTAGGCCAATTCACTGCCTAACTCCATGGCTCCTTATGGAATTTTAAAAATGATTGATAGGGGATGGCACTGTGGTGCAGCAGGTTAAGCCATTGCCACCATCTGCAATGCTAGCATCCCACATCACAGCTCCAGTTCAAGTCCTGGCTGCTGTGCTTCCAGTCCAGCTCCCTGCTAACACACTAGGAAGGCAGCAGATGATGGCTCAAGTACTCGGCCCCTCCCACCCACTTGGGAGACCTCGATGGAGCTCCTCGCTCCTGACTTCAATCATGTCCAGCCCTGGCTGTTGCGGCCATTTGGAGAGTGATCCAGCTGATAGAAGATCTCTTTCCCTCTGTCTTTACCTCTCTTTCGGTTACCCTTTCATCCTGTGCATGCTCCAGAGATGTCAGTATCTGGTTATGCATTCAGACTGTTGCTTCCACTTTAAAAGTTTACATAATGCCTGGGAAAGCAACAGACGAAGTCCTTGGTCCCCTGCACCCATGTGGGGGACCTGGGTGGGACTCCAGACTTCCAGCTTCAGTCTGGCCCAGCCCTGGCCATTGCAGCCATCTGGGGAATGAACCAGCAGATAAAAAATAAATCTCTCTCTCTCTCTCTCTCTCTCTCTCTCTCCTTTCTCTGTAACTCTACCTTTCAAATAAATTACAGCTGTATCCTTTGCCTCAGAGTGTATTTCTCTAGAATACTATAAAATCCACTGCAGGTGCCCCATTCAGCTTCACCCCCCCACCCCCAGCCACCATGCACTTTGGTGCTAACAGTTCATAGCTGCTCCTTTCTTAGAAACTTCCTTGCTCATGGAGTTGTACTACTTTCACCTCCCATGTAGAGCAGCTCACAGCCACTGATTGAGTGACACAGGATACAAAATACTGGCTCGCTTGCCTCAAGGCAGATCAACTCTGCGGTGTTATCAGCATTTCAGCGTCCCTGTGTGATCAGATTGGAACCAATCTCCAAGTGGGACCACGTCATTGCTTAGCATTTCTTCCCACTATCTGCCACCCCCCCCTCACCTGAGAGCTCTCCCTCCACAAATCACCTGTTCAAGAATGTCTGTCTGTGATCCCACTTAGGGAACCCAGCCCAAGACAGGCATACGTGAGTGGCGTGGTGGAGTTGGCTGGGTGGTAGATTTGCTTGTTGTAAAATTTACTCAGCGTTCCCAAATTGCTCTTCAAGTCGTTTTGCCAATTTGCACTCCTACCAGCAGTTTAGCAACACTGCTCTCTCTCCCACATCTTCATCAATGCTAGTGCTACACAAGGATTCTTCAAAAAATGGCATGGAAAATGAATTTAAAGATGTTTACCCTGGTGCAAAAAATATGGAAATGAATACATAGGAGGCGTTTTCAAAAAGTTCGTGGGAAATGTGTATTGTAAAAAAACTTCAAATTTGGACTTCAAAATTTCTTGGCGCAAAAATAAACCTACCTTTAATTCCATTTTCCTCGAACTTTTTGAAGTCCCCTCACAGGCTGATTGTGCCAACCAGATCAGTGCAATTGCTCTCTCACTATTGTTTTAATTTGCACTTCCATGTTAGTAGTTGAGAATCTTTTTGCTATCTTCTTTGGCCATCCAAACTCTTCCTCTGTTACTTCTCTGTTGGGAACCAGGAACAATCGGGTTTCCCACGTGGGTGGCAGGGACCTAAGCACTTGAGCCTCCACCTGCTGCCTCCCAGTGTGCGCCTTAGCAGGAAGCTGCATGAGGAGCAGAGCCAGAACCTGAACCCAGGGTCTCTGACATGGGATGTGCACATCCAAGTGCAGCCTCGCTCCTGGGCCAAATGCCCACCCCTAGCCTGCGGCTTTAACAAAACGTTTCATTTTTTAACAGACAGAAGTCCTTAATTTTGATGAAATAAAAATTATCCTTCTGTTTTTATAATTTGTGACTTTCGCATCCTATTTTCTCCCCTAAGATCATAGTTATTTTGCCTGTTTATTCTTCCCAGTTGTAAAGTTTACTTTTAACACCTGGAGCTTTGTTCCACCTGGATCCCATTTTGTGGGTTGTGTTAGCGGGAATCAATTTTATCCTTTTTACAAAGGGATATTCAATTGTCCCGGTACCAGCCACTACCTAGCCCATACCCCAGCCCTCGTCACGCTCAAGTTCTCACACATATTTGCATTTGTTCCAAGCATTATTCTCGTTCTTTCCATCTGCTGGTCTATCCCGGGGCCAACGCACGCTGCTCGAGTTGTCGGAGCCTCATGGCAGGGCGGGATTCCCTTCCTCTTTCTCCTCCTCCTCTTCCTTCTTCAAAATGGTCTTGGCTATTCTGGGTTATTATTCCACATACATTTTGGGTAACTTTATCAAGCTATAAGGAAACCCCTATTGCCATGCGTATTGGAAATAAAACCCACTGAGCTGGAGGAGAAGCCAAGCTGGTGACTAGAGCCCCCCTCACCTGCCCCGCTTCTCCCCCAGCCACAGTCTTCCCTCCTCTGCATTCCATGCCGTGCACATGGGGCTGCCTAGGAAAGGAAGCTCCAACCTCTCTCATCTTCTGGTGACCAACTGAAATGCTTCCTCCTCCAGGAAGCCCTCAGTGACAGCCCTGGCTCTTCAGGCTCTGACCGCCTCCAGCCTTTGGTGTACCCCGTTTCCTGGACATGTGGCTCACTGGACCTGGCTAAGGGGGGCTCTTCATCCATCTCCATATCCCACAGGCATCTCCGACACAGAGCAGGTGTTCAGTATGGTCTGAGGATGGGTTCTCAAGGCAGGAGGAGGAGGAAGGTACTAACAGGTTCTCAGGGAAACAGCTGATCCCACGGGCAGGGGGCTGGGACTGAGTTCAGAGTTCTGGGACCTTGAGGCCTGTCTGCGACCAGACGGCTCCAGCTCTGGGCCTGCTGAGTGGGCTGTCAGCTCCTCCTGGCATGCTTTCGCCTGTCTGCAAGGTGGTGGTGCCACTGCCAACCTCCCAGAGAGACTACGGAAGGGACACAGAAACCCCGTCCTCTCCACATGCCTGGTGAGCAGGTGCAGGAATGCAGACCCTGCCCGCACCTCCGGGACCCTGGGGGCGCCTCCCTGAACCTCTGAGGCCCGGCCTCTGCTGCCGCACCCTCCCAGGGCACAGGGGGTGCTCAACTCCCTGCTCACCCTGCCCGGCAGCACCCACGGCTCCCTGTGGACCTTGGCCCTGGAGCCGTTTTCCCACGAGATGTGCTCTTCTGGGGGAAGGGTGTCTTTCCTCTGGGGAGAACCCGAGACCGGCACCCCTGAACCCCAAACAGAGCCCAGTCCTCTGGGGATGCTCCTCAGAGCCCCAACTTCACTCCTTAGACTCAGCTTCTCCCTGCATAAATGGGCGTGCAATCCTACCTCCTGGGGCAGACGAGACCAGGGAGGGAAGTGAATGGGATGTATACAGTAGGTGCTCAGGGTAAGGTTACTCCTTACGCTCCAGGACATGTCAAGGGGGTAGGGATGGAAAAACTGGGACACACAGGCAAAGCTGAGGCAGAATTTATTCTCACCGGGGGAAAGTTCCAGACTCGGGACAGGGCCCACAGAGCAGACCCCTGGGCCCCTTGAAGGGGGACCCACATGGTGAGGGGGGCAGGCCCACCGTGTCCCCGAGACCGCGAGGGCCCCGAGCCCAGAAACCGAGTGAGGCGGGGTCCGAGATTCCCCCTTCCATAGGAAGGACGAGCGGCTGGGCTGGATCGCGATGCAGATCCAGAGGTGTGGAGCGCGGGCCGCGGCTCCCCGAATTATTGCAAGAGAGGGGCTCGGTGCTGGTGTCTCCGCGGGACGGCTGTGCTGGCCAGGGCTGGGGCCACACTGCCCCTGCGAGGGGCGTTCTCTCCCTGGGTGCTTCCCATGTGCTTTGAGGACCATTTTTGCATTGTCAAGAGTGAGGAAAAAATATTCCGACAGGATAGAAAACAGATTATTTATATACCCTGGTGGGCCGGAAGGGGCAGGGCCAGTCTTCGAGGGGAGGGGCTTCCCAGGGCCCCTCCCAGCCATGGTCCAGCCCTAAAACCCGGCTGCTGTGTGGCCCTGGCCAAGGCACAACCTGGGCAGGCCCCTCCCCCACTGGCGCAGGGAGGGCTGAGAAGTGGGGTCTCACTGTCCTGGGCATGGGGTCAGGGCTGGGCAGTGAGGGGTTGGCAAGGGGGCTTCCGAGTGAGGAGAGCTGGGCTGTGGAGAGAGGCATCGGCGGCTGGGGCCAGCGATGGTCGCCCAGCCCGGCCGGGCAGCCACGTCCAGCCGAGAGCGGCTCAGGAGCCAGCAGAGAGGTGGCCGGAGGGACTGGCCAGGAACCCTGTTTTCCTGTTGAAGCAGCGGAGGGAGGGCCCGACCTGAGTAGCAGCCAGGGGTGGGCTTCCCCGGGCGGAGGTGAGGGCGGGCCCGGTGCTGGTGTGGTTCAGAGGGGGCCGGGCTCCAGCCTCCCCACGTGGGCAGATAGGCATGAGCCTGGCACCAGGCCCCAGGGGCGCTGGGCCCGGGGTGGGGGGCGGCACATGGACTTCCTTGCCCAAACACCTGTGACACCTGCTCATTCACGACCCTCATCCACAGTCACGCCTGCTTGTCCCCAGCCTTAACGGATAAGTACACGCACATGCGTGCTGGGGTCCCAGTGAGCAGCCACACACGTGGTCACACATCATCTCGAGAATCCGCCCCCAGGGCGGGCACTCCAAGACAGGCCAGCCACCTCTGTCCGACGAAGCCCCAGGCTCCGGAAGAGAGATGGCTTCTGCCCTGGGCAGCAGGTGTCCCGGCCAAGGCGCCTGAGCCCATGGCGCTCTCCAGCCTGGGGCGGAGCCTCGGGCCAGGAGGCGGGGTCAGGTGCGCTGCCAGCTGTGTGGCCTGGGCTGGCCGGGTCTGCAGTCAGAGGTGCCGGCGCGGGCCCTGGGTGCTGCTCAGCTGCGCTCTCATGGTCTGGATGCTGCCTAGGATCTTCTTCTGGTGGCCCATGAGGGTGATGCCCAGGGCACGCACGTCCCTGCGGAGGGGGGCGGCGCTGACCTGCCAGGCCAGCGGCCAGGAGGACAGGGCCGCGCCCACCCCCTGGGACGGCCCCACCCCCGCCCCGCTGCCGGCACTCACTGCGCGTTCATCCGCAGCACCATGCCCAGGGAGGAGTATCCGCCAGCGGCGAAGTGGTCTCGGTAGCGGCCCATGCGGATGGAGTCCAGCCAGTCCCCCACCGTGAGGCCCCCGCCCCCACCCCCACCTGCTCGCAGGTCAAAGCAGCTGCGGGCAAAGGCAGGGGGCGGGCACCTAAGGCACAGGGGTCCTCCGTAAGCAGCTGCCGGAACCTTAGGACCCCTCTTCTGCGGGGACCCCTACACGGCCTCCCTCCTCGCTTAGGGCAGGCAGAGCTTTGACAGGCCCGACGCCAGGAAGGAGCCAGCTGGGCAAAAGGCCAGGGGTCAGGGCGGGGACGGAGTCTGGGCCTGGTCTGGGGCAGAGCTGCCACGGCGGCCGGCTCACGTGGTGCTGGGCGGGCACGCGGTACCTGCTGGCAGTGGCCGTGGCCCGCAGACTCTCGGGACTCCGGATCAGCGCATCGAGGACGCTGACGATGTGGGAGAAGCGGGGCCGCTGGGCCCGGTCCTTGTGCCAACAGTCCAGCATGAGCTGGTGCAGGGCGCGGGGGCAACCCATGGGCGCCGGCAGCCGGTACCCCTCCTCCACCGAGCTGATGACCTGGGGGCAGGGCACAGGTGGACTCCCGCCGCCCTCCTGCCGCGGCCCCACAGCGCCGCCGCCCGGCAGGAGCCCGCACTCACGTCCCGGTTGGTCATGTTCCAGTAGGGCCGCTCCCCGTAGGCCAGCACCTCCCACATGACCACCCCGAAGCTCCACACGTCGCTGGCCGAGGAGAAGGTCCGGAAGGCGATGGCCTCGGGGGCTGTCCAGCGGATGGGGATCTTGCCTCCCTGCGGGGGGCACAGAAGTCGGGTCTGGTTTCCCAGCCCAGGGGGGTGACACAGCCGCTGCCTGTTCTGATGGGGGAGGGGGCCTGCCGCTGTAAAGACCCAATGTAGCCGAGTGTGCAGGCGGCCCTGCACATAGTAGGTGTGCAATAGAGATCAGTCTGCAGGGCCGGGCCTGGCAGGGAGGAGGCTCAGAGAAAGGCCTGGCACTTCCTGCCTCTGCCTCTTCCTCCTCCTCCCCTTCTTAGGGTCACCAGGTCCTCTCCCTACCGGAAACCTTACTCAGAGGCGCGGTGGGGGCATCTGGCTCGGGCCATGCCCACCCGGCTTCCCGCCTTTCGCACACCTCTAGAGAAACATGGTTTTCAGCCAACTCAAAGACAGGGAGCCAAGGAGCCCTCCCCGGAAGCACCCGGTGTCCCCAGGCCGCATGGTGAGAGAGGAAAGGCAGGCAGGCCTGTTCCCTCGGGGAGAAGTCTGTGCTGCAGGTCGCCGGGAGAGCCCGCCCGTGGCTCCTCGCCCCTGGCCTGGCCTGGCGGGCAGGGGCGCGTGCAGCGTACCGTGGTGGTGTAGGCAGCCTCTGGGTCGTCCTCCAGCACGCGCGAGAGCCCGAAGTCAGACACTTTGCAGACCAGGTCGCCGCCCACCAGCACGTTGCGGGCGGCCAGGTCGCGGTGCACGTAGCCCAGGTCCGAGAGGTAGCGCATGCCGGCGCCCACGCCCCGGAGCATGCCCACCAGCTGCATGATGGTGAACTGCCCGTCGTGGGTCTGCAGAGGACACGGCTCGTGTGGGCGCCGGGAAGGCCCAGCGGGGCTCTACAGAGCGCCTCCGTGTGCGTGAGGCCCCCCGCGGGCTGCGGTTTATTCTCAGGGGCTCATCTGCACACACAGCAGCCCCGGGAGGAGAATGGTGGCCCAGAGGGGTTAAGCCTTATGCCTACGAGCGCCCAGCAAACAGAGGCAGGGCTGGAGCTGGGAACCCAGCCGCTCCCACCACACTCTCCACGGCTCCCAGCCGGTGGCGAGGGAGGGGAGGAAGGGGGCGAGGGCAGAGGTCCCTGGTGAGCAGTGCGACTTCCGTGGTGGGGGCTGAGAGGCAGGCTGGCGCACTGCGAAGACCCCTCTGGCACAGGCCTCCCCTGCCCAGGTCTGCTGGGTCCCGGGTGGGTGGGTGGCTGGAGGGACCACGTGGCGGCTCAACATCCCGACTGAACACGCACCCTCAGGAAGGCGTCCAGAGAGCCATTCTCCATGTACTCGGTCACGATCATCGCCAGACGGCCTGGGCAAGGGGAGCGGGAGGGGGGCTCCTGGTGAGGAGCACGGGAGACACTCACAGACCTCAAGACACGCCCCTTCCCAGGAGCTGGCCCGGGTGGGGGTCTCCTTGGGGGGAAGCTCCTACCCCGTGTGACGACACCCTCAAGGCGGATGATGTTGGGGTGGTCGAACTGGCCCATGATGGACGCCTCGCTCAGGAAGTCCCGCCTCTGCCTCTCCGTGTAGCCGGCTTTGAGGGCCTTGATGGCCACGGGCACGTCCCGCTGCCCCGGCACCCGTAGCCACCCGTAGCAGACTTCCCCGGACTCTCCTGGAAGCCCCAGAAAGGCAGGGAGGGCAGTGGGACCCCCTCCCTAGGCCCCAGTCCCTGGGCCGCCCCCACCCTCACTCCCCGGGGCTCACCGGAGCCGATGATTTTCTCGATGTGGATCCGGGAGGCCTCAATCTCGCGGGTGAAACCACGGCCCGCCCGGCCCGGCTCCTCGTAGTTGTGGGGTTCTGCGCAGATCTGGGGCTCTGGAAACTTCCCTGGGGGGTGGTGCAGGGGCAGGAAGACAGGTGGGGGCGCTGAGGGGCGGAAGGGGAGGACGGGCCTTCGCTGGGGGTCCAGGAAGAATTCCCCTTGCCCAGCTTCCCCTGGACCTAGGACCTGCGTGGAGTGGGGGTGTCTCTTGGGTCTGGGGACATGGTGACAAACGGCAGGTGCCGAGTGAAAGGGGGGGTCTCTGCAGAGTAGCTCTGGGGTGCCGATGGGCTCTGAACTCTTGGGCGAGTTGGGAGCAAGTCCGTCTTTTTCTGGGGTCACTGCCAGAGTCCTAGCAATCTTTTTAAACTGTTCTGGAGGAGGGGTATAGTAAAAAAAGAAAAAAAGCCCCCCCCCAAGTACCAATCCTGGCGAACTGGAAGTGGCTCCCGGAAGACTGTGTTAAGAAGGATGCTGAGGCTGCCCTCGGGCCCGGTGGGAATCAGTACCTGGGTGTGGGAGTGGCGTGTGGGGTGGGATCCCCACGGCTGCCTTGTTTTCTGGGTGAATCCTGACAACCTGTCTGCAGTTGGGATCCTCGTCCAGGAGTGGCCGAGCCCTCGGGAAATCCTGGTGCGACCGCGTGTGGACGTGCAGACCCAGGTCTCCGGCAAAGGGGCACGGCACTGTGCCTCGGGGGCTGGGACCTCGGGCCACCCCGCTCTGTCCCCGGGCTCTCGTCCCCTCTGTGGACGCCTGCTCCTTCCCCGACTCACCCTGCCCGCTCTGGTAATGCATCTTCTCCTCGTCCGAGTCCTGGAAGGCCTTGCTGTAGCCGCAGTGCCTAGGGATGAGAGTCACCGTACTGACAGCCCCGCCCCACCCCTGCCTGAGGCTGCGCGGCACAGTGCCCGCCCTCGGCTCTCAAACCAGCTGAATTGGCATGGCCCCGATGGTCACAAAGCACCTGATGATCACAAAGCACCCCCCCCCAGCACCTGGGGGCAGGGCTGGAAGAGGAGGTGTCGAAGGCCAGGTCCGCTCGGCGCCCCCCCGCCAGCCCCTCTGCCCGCCGGCCTCAGCCTCCCCACCTGCCATGTGATCTTTCCAGTTCTCACCTCCCGGAGTCCGACGCCCCCACTCAGCACCACCTCACCTCTGCCTCCCTCCAGAAGCCGTGGGAGAGGGCGGAGGGACCGAGCACATGGGCTTTGGTTTGACAGCCTGGGTTCAGGTCCCAGCTCTGCTGTCCATCAGCCGTGTGACTCCGGCAGGTGGCCTAAGCTCTGATTCCCAACACACCTACCAAGCGAGAGCAGCTTCGCAACCTCTCTTGAGTATCATTAGGATTACGTGGGATGGTGTGTTTGTGCGGAAGCTGGCCCAGGCACGAGGGGGCGGGCTCAGCGCTGGGAGGAGGGGCTTGCAGCAACCAGGGAGGCCAGGACCACCCACCTCTTCTTGCAGATGAGCAGGACCAAGAGCACGACCAGGCCAGTGATGAGCGTCAGGCAGATCCAGACGATGGTGCGGGTGTCGTAGCGGGGCCCTGCAGGGGAGCCAGGTCGGGGGACCAGGCCCTGCCTGGGCAGCCCAGGGGCCGGCCAGCAGCTCCTCAGCCACGAGCCAGCCCTGTGCTCCCGCCCACTCTCCCCCAAGACTCCCCTGCAAGGTCCAGCCGCCCCAGGCTCCCCCCAGGGCTGGCGCCACTGCTTCCTGGGACCGCGCAGCCCGGGGAGAGTCATTCCACTTCTCCAAGCCAAAAGCAGACAAGCCGAGAAGGGTGCCCGTCCACCCCATGTTGCTCTCACGGCCAGCACAGTGCGGCCAGGTCTCAGTCCCCACTCCCCTGCCCCCCTGTCCCCGCTTCTGTTTCCAGATGAGAAGCCTGGGGCTCAGCGAACACAAGGAACTGATGCAAAGGGCGGGCAGGGGCAGGGGGCCCAGCCGGGCAGCCTCAAGGGTGCATCAGGTGCAGGTGCACAGGGAGGGCGGGCGGTGGCTGTTGTGCACACAGGCGAGGACACTGGCTGGCTGGAGGCTGGGGCAGGGGAGACGGAAGCCTCTTAAGTCCCCCACAGGGAGTGACTTGGATCACCCTCAGGGCCTCCTGAAACCCACCCCGCCGGGCCCGCGCGTCTGTCCCCGGCTCCGTTCTGAGAACTCCTGGTCCTGGGGAAGGGGCCTGGAGTTTGTCCAGACTGCCCAGGTTCAAACCTTGCTCTGCGGGCTAACCCTGGACAAATCAGGTTCCTGCTCTGGCCCTCGTTTTGTTCATCTGTAAGGCGGGGACACGGAGAACACCGGCGCTCACTAGAGTGGACCCCGGGGACGCCCAGGAGGCTGTCCGCCTGCCGGGGTACCAGGAGGCCCCAGGCCACCCTGGCCCTCGCTGGGCAAGCTGCCTTCCACCTGCAGAAAGGCCAAGGGCGGGCACACCCGGCGGGACGGCGAGCAGGCGTGTGCTGGCACTGGCTCAGGGCACGCTCGCTCCCCTGCCCGCCCCCGCCCATGCTCCTGGTCCAGCGCCCTCGCCCGCCCTCCCCGCTCCCTGCACTCACGGGGTTTCCCCGTCTCCACCTCCATGGCCTGGCTGAAGCGGCCGCAGCCTGCCGAGGTGCGGGCTCGGACCTGGAACACGTAGCGCGTGCCCGGCTTGAGGCCCGACACGGTGGCACTGGTGGTGACAGCCTTGAGCGTGGAGTAGCTCTGCATCTCCTTGTCCTGTGCCGGGGCGGGGGGGGGGGGTTGGGGCGTGATCAACGGAGGCGCCCCAGCCCCACCCTGCCCTTTGCCCCGCCCCCCGCAGTACCTTCTCATAGTACTTGATCTCGTACTCCAGGATGATGCCATTGGGCTGCTCCGGCTCCTGCCACAGCAGCGACACGCTAGTCTGCCCTGTGCGCTCCTGCCGGATCACCACCACCTGGGACGGGGCTGGGGGGAGGCGTCCGCTCTGTCAGCCGCCACGGACCACCGGGGTGGCATCTGCCACTGGCTGCCCGGCTCGTCTGGGATGGGGGGCTTGCCTTGAGCCAGCTGAGGCCTGACTGCCCAGCAGCCTCCAGGGGAGGGGAGCAGGTGCTCAGGAACAAGGTAGGGAAAGAACAGCCCTACCCAGGCCTGGGTCTGGGGGACGCGGCTGGGGCAGCCGAGCCCAGGGCCCTAGGTGAGCTCAAGGCTTCCCCCAGTCACACCAGGGCACCCCTCAGTGCCTGCCCCCAGGCCAGTTCTTCCCGCATGCTTGAGAGCTCCCTGCAGGCGGGGGCCACACACAGTAAGTGCCCAAGAAATGTCACTGGATGACTCTGACGTGGGAAATTAAGAAACAACTCCAGAGGCAGAGGTCAAGCTGGAGGGTCTGGTGCAGGGGGAACCTCATCTGTCACTCAGCGGAGGCAAGGCCAGGGCCTGTGTTCCAGGACAGGAGCCCGAGGCCAGTGTGGCTGCAGGGGAGGGAGCCGGGGCGAGCGGGGACGCTGGGACTGGGGAGGTGCTGCGCTAGCTAAGGCGCTGACACGGATGAAGCCGGCAAAGGAAAGGCTTGCTCGCTCGGGACAGGGAGTCCTGGGAGGGGGCGGGGCGGGAGGGGCTGCTGCAGGGCCCAGCAGCACTGACGAGGGTGTGGACGGAGCAGGGGCTGAGTGTGGAGACCAGCGGGACCTGCAGGTGGAAGTCAAGGGCGAAACCTGGCTTTGGAGCTTTGAGCGGTGCAGCTGCAGGTGCGGGGGCGTGGTTTGCTTTTCCTGTGCCCCGGGGGAGGTGGGAGTGGGCAGCTGGACCCCGGCGGGGGGAGCAGTCGGTGCTGATGAGCTACGCTGGAGGTGGGGTCATCTACGTGAAGGTGGAGTTCAGGGTCAAGGGGGTGGGGGTTTGGATGGCTTCCAGGCGGACTGGCCAGCCACCCGCCTCAGGCTCCGAGCTCTGGGCACCTAGCTCTGCTTTTCACTGCGTAGCCAGCACCCGGCAGAGCTCCTGGTAGGGAGCGTGTTCTCCATGAACACTGCTGAGGGCAGAGCCTCAGGGAGGGCGTGCCCGGGCTCCAGGAGGTGTGGGTGGTCCCGGGTTCCAGTGTTGGCTCTGCCGCTTAAGCAGGTGACTGGCGGCCTTGGCCAGTGATGTGGTGGGACCTGTGCCTGCTGGGCCGGGCCTGCAGATGTCGGGGCATGGGGTGGGGACGCCTCCCTCGGGAGGCCCAAGGGCCTGGCTGCCCTGATGAACAGGCAGGAACCCTGGAGTTCGCAAACAAAGAGGTCCCAGGGGCTGGACTTGATGCAACTGGGCCAGGAACAGGTGAGCGGCTGCAGCACACGCCAGGGACCAGACCCCTCCCCAGGCGGCACGGCAGTGCTGGGGACTGAGCTCCGGGGGACGTTTACTGAGCACATGCCATGGGCCAGGTGCCGGGCCAGGCACTTCATCTCTTTATGCCTCACAGGGGTTACCTAGGACAGGCACTGCAGCAAGGAGGGAACATTCTGGAACTCAGGTACATGATGGCCAGGCCGGCCAGTCTGTGAGCTCTCGGGGAGTCCTCCCACTGAGGGACCACCTGCTGCTTCTCCACGGGCTCGGGGTCCTGGCCAGGAGAGCAAGGGCCACCAGGTGGCTGCCTGCCCAAAAGCCACAGCAAATCCGAGGCGGGCCTGGGCTCCGGGGAGGCTGGGGGACGGAGCGACTCCGCCTACCTGCCTGGTTCGTGGTGATGTTGACCACGGCGGCCCGGCGGGGCTCGGGGCTCAGGTCGGACACGCCATTGACGGCCTCGATCCAGAAGGAGTAGTTCATGTGGGCCAGCAGGTTGGCCACCAGCAGGCTGGCCTGCACCAGGCTCGTCTGCTGGGGCACGAAGCGGGGGCCGCTCCCGCACGCCTCGCAGTGGCTCAGTGCCCAGGGGCAGCGGCGGCACACGGCGTTGTAGGTGATGTCGCTGCGGCCGCCGGGGTCCAGGGGAGGGGCCCACTCCAGGGTCACGGACGTCCCATTCACACTGGAGATCAGGTTCACGGGTGCTGAGGGCGGCCCTGGGGAGCAAGGGTGCTTCCTTGAGCTGGTTTAGTGCCCCCCCTTCACAACAGGGGTCCCCCAGGGAAAGGGCACCCCCACCACGTTTGGGGCTCCTTAAGGCTCCATCCTCTGAAGCCCGAGGGCAGCGGTTGTGTCTCTGCCATCAGACTGGGACCACTGGGACCAGAGAGTCAGGGCCTGGGCACAGAAACCTGACAGCCCCCATCCAAGCCAGAACACAGGGGCTCTGTGCTGTGTCCCCCCAAGTTTTCCCCAGCGTGAGAGGGAGACAGCACGCGCAGAGCCACCCTGCCTGTAAAAGGAACCCGCCATCTGTGTCCTATGTCTGCTCCCTAAGCCCCTGTGCGGGTGCAACAGAGATGCCCCTGGCGCTCGCTGTGGGATAAGGCAGACGCCCCGGGAAGCCCACCTGGGGCCCCAAGGCCGGGTGGGAGGAAGCCCCCCCCCCCCCCGAATGGGAGTCCCCAGTCTGCAGAGCAGAGACTCGGGACGGAGGGTGCTGTGGGGGCGGGGTGGGGGTGGGCTAGGAGGGTGGGGGAGGGGCTGTGGGGACCCATAGGAAGCCTGGATTCCAACTCAAGACCCCGACAGGGAACCTCGGCCCTGATTCAGGGATCTCTGAGTCACAGAGCCTGGCCATCTGGGAGATTTACAATCTGAAGGGCAGGGATGCTAAGAGCCCAGGCTCTTCCGGTCCTAAGATCTCTGGAAGCATACAGCACCGCAGAGGCCGCACTCAGGCTCCTGAGCTGGAGCCAGGCTCGCCTCGCCTGAGGAGCCCCCGGCCACCACCCGGCCACGTGCCACACGGGGCTGACACGCAGGCCTGGGCAGGGCGGCACACGGGCGTGTGCGTTCACACCTGGCACGCCTGGGTTTGACTACACTCCCCTCCCCCATGCAGGGAGCCCGAGCGGGCACAGGGGGCGGGCACATGCAGCCATGCGCTCTGGGCACACGCTGAGCTCGCCTGACACTGCGCAGCTTTGCAGGGACTCACGGGCCCCCTTCTGGGACCAAACGTTCCCCCCTCCCGCCACCAGAGGCGGTTACAGTCCGCGAGACGTGCTCCCGCCTGGGTGACCGCTGTGGACACACACATGGCACATGCTGACAGCAGCGCCGGCCAGCTCACCCAGGGGGTCGTGGAGGGGGCGCCTCTGATGCCCACCCTGCTTGTCCCAACACGTCGGCTTCACCACCAGCTCAAGGGTCAAAGCCACCCAGGCTGGCAGGTGACAGGAGATAAAGGCCACTGCTGAGTGGTCACAGGCACCCTCCTGGTCCCAGTCCGGACTAGCCCCCGCCCACCCAGGCCAGTGGGACTGAGCATGGGGTGATGGCCCAGGGTTCGAGGCTGGTACTCACGGGTGCAGGCTGCAGACGGCGGGTCCAGGGCTGCACGGTAGTAGCTGAGGTCACAGCGGCAGGCCTGGGCAGCCGGGGCTGCAGAGTGGCTGTGGGGAGGGCAGCGGGCACACAGCTGGTCCCCAGGGGCCGACTTGTAGAAGCCCAGCTCGCAGGCTGTGGGAGAGAGAGGGACTACAGGGAGGCCGGCCAGGCTACCCTGCCAGCTCTTGTCCAACCTGGAGCGGGGCTTCCTGGGAGATTCCGGGAGGCGGAGGGGCGGAGCTTCAGCCTCAGTGTCACCCTCATCTGCAGACGCAGAGTCCGACACAGAGAGAGCCCCTGGCTTATGCAGGGCTGCGTGGTGGTGGGGTCGGCACCGGGCTGCCTCAGCCCCAGCCCCGAGCTTCTCCAAATCCCTCCACGCCCGCCCACCCAGGCCCCGCCTCCAGCCTCGGCTTCTGTCCTCCAAGGGACACTGCGGTCCTTGGGCAGGACACCAGCCTTGGGGTACAGCGGGCGTGGTGCTGAAAATTGAAGGAGTGGACAGGGAGCGGGGTGGGAAAGCAGCAGTGGCTCCCAGACGTGGGCAGACACGGAGCCACCCCCATCAACCACGGAGCCGCCCCCACCAGACAGACTCCTGGCCCCTCCACAGACACCGCGGTTAGAAGAGCCCGGGCCTGGGGATCTGCATTGCATAGCCCTACCCCCACTCCCAGCAGGACCGACTGCAGGAGACAAGCTCCTCCTCTCCCAGACCCCCACCGCCATGTCTCCTGTCTGACCCTCTCTGCAGCCGCCACCACCACCGGCTCCGGGGAGCCCCTGGACAGTGACAGCAGCCTCCAAACCCTGCCCCCAGCCCCGCCCCGCCCCAGGCCAGCGGCTGAGGCCAGATCTTGTGAGTGCCGCCTGGGCCAGGCATGTGCAGGGCACTGGAGACCCGAGGGGAACAGGTGCCCCACCAGGAGCCGGCGTGGGAGAGGGGGAGGCAGTCACCAAGGCCGCGGCCGTATCCAGGAAGCAGACGAAGAGGGGGAGGTGGCGAAGGGTGACCTGGGCGGGAGCTGCCTCCTGGGGGAGGCGAGGACGTTGGTGGAGGGAGCGGGCTGCTCTAGGCTGAGGCATCTCTACGATGCACGTCTCATTCTCCCCTGCCTGTTCAACCCTCTCAGGCATCCCCAGCCAGAGCCTAACCAGGAACACCTGGAGTCCAAAGTCCTCCCTGCCAGAACAAAACCCACCTGCAGGCTCCCTCAGTACCGCCCCAGCGCCCAGCCCCAGGCCACACTGACGCGCTAGCCATCCCTTGCATAGGTCAGGCTGCTTCCTGCCTCAGGACCTTTGAACATGCTGGGCCTGCCTCTTGGGACGCCGTTTCTCTCTGGTCCACCTGCTAGACTCCTCTTTCTGGACCCTTCGATGAAGCCTTTCGGGACCTCCCCTTCACACACGCGCACTGACCACTCCCCTCCCCACTGCTGTAGTCCCTCGGTCTCGCTTTAACGAGTGTGCGAGACCCGGGCCGGTTAATGAGCTGCGTGTCTGGCTCTCCTGCTGGACGGGGGCTGCTTTGCTCGTCTGCATGTCCCCAGCACAGACACAAGGCGGCCCAGAGAGCAAACCCTTCCCCCACCGTTGTGCACCCTGGGCAGAGAAGGACACCCAGCTAGGCGGCTCCCAGCTCTGCTCCAGCACTGGAGACCTTGGGGGGCCTCTGAGGCCCCTCCCTCCGCTGAGTCCTGCTCTGGAGCACTGGGTGCGGGCAAAGCCCCCCACCCCCACCCCGGGACGGCATCTCGGGGTTTGCCTTCCTGGGCGGGCCCTGCTTTGTCGCAAGAGCTGGCGCCGGGTTGGTCCGCCAGATCCCACAGACGGGGGATGACAGGACTCGGGAAACACTCATGCCCTAAGATGCTTCCGACTCAGAGGCTGGGGGCCAGGAGGGGCTTCGGGCAGAGGCATCAGGGAAAACGGGCCCCAGTCTCAGGGCCTCTCCCACCCCAACACCGAGGGCTCAGACCTAACGGGGCTGGAGCTCGGAGCGGGGGTCCTGGCTGATGACGCACCGTGATCTTGCCTCCTCCTCCCAGCAGCCTTCCAGGAGACCCAGTCCTGCAGCCCATCCCACGCACAGGCTCCTTCCTGCACCCAGGGAGCCGTGCAGGGCCCCCTCAGAGGGAGGTTCTGCACTGGGTCAGCAGGTGTTTGCCGGGTGAGTTGTGGGCCACACAGCGAGGGCCAGGCCCACGGCGGCCAGCATCGCACGTTTACGCCTCACCCGGTGCCTGGGATGCGTCTACCATGGACCCGAGAGGAACGGAGCAGACGAGAAGGCCTGGGGTGGCATCCTGGCCTCGGTGAGGCACCAAGGTGCACAGGCTCTTGGCTGAGCAGAGCTGCACCTGGGGAGGGAACAGCTGCCCGGGCACCTTCCCTCGCCGACCCCTGCCTCTGCAGGGCACTGGGCCTGTGGCTGGGACTCAGTTTCCGCATCTGTGAAATGGGGACACTAACAGCACCCCCACACACAGGGCTGTTGTGAGGGGAACACAGGTGAACTCACACAGGACAGCGCCCCACACGTGGCACCAGCACACCGCAGCACAAGGCTCCCTGCCGAGCCAGGATGCGGGCCAATCTGGGGACCCTGGAGCTGTGGCCCGACCCCCACTGGCCCCGGGGCTCAGAGACGGCCTCCGTGCTCCATAGCCCTCAACACCCGTGCGCTAATGCCCATGGCTCTACCGTGTCAAGGCCAGGTTAATCCATGCAGTGAAAGTAAAATAATCTTTAATAAGACGACTAATCACCAGGCCTCAGGGAGCGCAGGCCCCCGCGGCTGGGCCGGGACATGCGGCTGAGACAGATGGGGCGGCTCTGCCGGGGCCCGGCCCTGCCTGCCGCCCCAGGGTGCCTCCTCGCCAGGAGGGGCCGCGGCCCTGCACAGGGCACCTTGCCTGGGCGCCTGCGGCCCTGGCCCCCTCACTGCTCTGCTCCCCTCCCCCGCAAAGGGCTTGCGCTTTGACAAATACGGCGTCCGCCGGTGCACGAGCGGAGGAAATTAATTCTAAATCAGATTTTAAACCCGGCCAGGAAGGCACGGGAGCCCGTCGCTCCGCTCCCCTCCGAAATGAGCCTCTGATATTTATAGAAAGATGATTAGGGCGAGGGGGGAGGGTGATGTATGTCACGCCCAGGTGACAGGAAGGACGGCCCCTGCGGCCCTGCGCGGGAGAGGGGGTGCAGCCAGGGCTGGGCTCAGCCTGGGGGAGGCCGCCCCGTCAGGAAGGGGGCAGAGCGCGGCTTTCTGGAAGGTCACTGGGAAGAGCTGAGACCCCAGTAACCCGGCCCCCGGCTGCGCCCCCGCTGGGTCTCCAGCTCCCCACTGGCAAACGGGCCCAGCGCCACATGGCTCAGGGAGGGGCCCGGGCAGCATGGAGGGTGGCCTGGCCACCTGCAGGGGCAGCTCCAAGGGCAAAGCCACCGGGGCAGGAAGCGCGAGGCTGGGCAGGCTGCCGTCAGTGAGCGCCCGACCTCTGCCACGGCCAGGGCTCCCTCGGCTTCCCGGGGCACAGGCACGGAAGCTGGGCAAACGGCTACCCTCTCCAGCCCTTCCGCTCCGCAGCTCCCCACAGTGGGTGGGGCCGCCTGTGGGGGGCGGGGCAGGCACAGGGAAGCCTCCCCCCAACCCCCACCCCGCTGCGTTCCCAGCTCCGCCTGACTCTTGGGCTCCAAGGAGGACAAGGGGGTGGGGAGGCCCCGGCTCCTGACACGGGGATCCCAGGATCTGTCGCTCCTCCAGCGCCTTCCGACTGGCGTTCCCCTCCCAAAACGCACTGCCTGCAGTGCCCTGTGAATTAATATTTTCCATAAAACCTGTAATTATCTCGCAACTGGCATAATTATGTTACATTATGACTTAAATGGAAAACTCAAATACGCAGCCATCCCCTAGCCCTGCCCCCGAGGGCCCTTTGTTGCTCCGCTATGGACGGGAGAGGGCGTGGCCCCACCTGGCCCCGGGGTGGAGGTGGGGGGTCTCCAGCACGAGCCCCGCCCAGTGCAATGTGTGCCCCCAAACCCGGGGTGCGGCGATCCCAGCTCTGCCCCGTGGGGACCACAGCAGCAACTGAGACCCAGAGTGCCACGTGACAGACCACGAGCTCCCTCCGTCCATGGTAGGGGGCAGCGGCTGACCTTGAGCAGGTGAGAAGAGGCAGGCCTGCCCGATGGTTACAGCTCGTGCTGTGCCAGATCCTAACCACCTGACCAAGAGCCCGGGGCAGAGGGCAGTGGGGCTCAGAAGAGGGCTTTTGGGGCTGAGGCAGGAGGTCAAGGCTCAGGGGTCAAGGCTCAAGGCTCCGTGGGGACATCACGCCCAGTCTGGAGGACAGTATAAAGAATGACGTGATTCCCCCGAAGGCAGGGACTCCCTGTGCCGGGGGCACAGCGGGTGCTCAAAGAGAAGTCACGGGCACACCTACCCAAGCGCCCGGCCCTCGGCGAACACTCGGGAAGCTGCCACGAATCACGTAGGTCCTTTCTTCTCCCCACCGGAGAGGGAGGACCCAGGGAGCCAGCTCTGCCAGAGGCAGCGGCCAGGGCCAGGCTCAGAGCCATGCACACCTGACCTCCCACCGGCTGTGGCCGCAAGCACAGGACACCACCTCTTGTGCCTCGGTTTCCCTACAGGTAAAGGGGAATCCTGACGGCTGCCTTGCTACAGGGAGCCACAGGCTGAGGCGGGACGTGCCCCCTTGTAGGCTGCAAAGGCACGGGGCCACCTGTCCCGAGCACTGCCCAGCAGAGTGGAGAAGAGCAGAGAGCTGAAGGAGGAGCCTGGCAGACGGGCGCGGGGAGCGGACACGAGACCCAGAGACAGAGGGGCAGAGGGGCGGCTGCTCGGAGGCCAGCCCCGGGGGCTGCTGGGGGCCGAACCCCAGTTTTCCCCGAGGGTGTCTGGCCCCTGCACGGGAACACCCCACCCCTCCCCTCCTGTGCCCAGGGCCTCAAAGTCTCACCAGCAGTGCGTCCCGTCCCTAGGGAGACCAAGGCAGGCTGAGAGCAGCACCGGCTGGGCCCCCGCTGGCTGTCACACAGCCCTGTGTCGCCTGCGCACTCACCCTCGGTACTCAGCTGTCCCTCACAAGCCTCTTGCCTGTCCATAGCTCCCTGGGGAACCCCCTGAACACAGGCAGCCCCGGCCAGTGCCCAGGGGCAGAGCCAGCAAGGCCTGTCTTCTCCAGGGGCCCCCGTCCTGCGCTCAGTCACCCAGGGCCCGGGTTCCACGTCCCTCCACCCCCAGGCAAGACATTCAGAGATTTCCAGCAGGGACTCTGGAGTCGGGCTTCCGGGCTCAAATCCCAGCTGTGTGACCCAGGGCCGGGTGCTCGGACTCTCTGTGCCTCTGTCTTCCCCTCTGTGGGACTCAGACACTCCAAGGCTCTGATTTCACAGGGTGGGGGTGGGGAGGAAAAGTCCACGCCTAACCCAGCGCCTGCCCCATGGCAAAGCTGGCGGCACAAGTACCCCTCGCCGTGTCCTCCACAGTGGCCCCAGGCTTCCACCTGGCTGAAGCCCGTCGGCCACCTCTTCACCCAGCCGGCACGCACGCAGGCAGCCTGGCATAGCTGCCGGCTCAGGATCCCTGGGGCTGGCCATCTCCCCTGCTGACACGGCCATCGCCCCTGCCCGTGCCCCCATGGCCCTGCCCGCGGGTGCCGCGCTCACCCACACAGGCATCCCGCCGCTCCTCGTAGCCGGCACTGCACACGCACTTGCCAATGGGCACCAGCCACTCGCCCTCGGCGCTGCAGTACATCTTGGGCGTGTCCCGCTCCTCCGAGTGCCGCACACACTGGCCCCGGACCTCCACCAGCGAGGAGGAGTCGGCCCCGGTCACCGCCTCCGAGAAGGCGGCCAGGTTGCGCACCATGGCGGGGCACTTCTTGTAGTAGATGCGGAGAGAGAGGATGGCGAGGCAGGCGCCGATGTCCTGGAAGGCCAGGTAGAAGCCGCGCTTGCTGAGGGGGCCCACGCCGCGCACCTCGGTGTTGAGCTTGAGCCGCCGCACGCCCAGGTCGGCGCCGGTGAAGCTCTCGTCGGCCGCGATGGTGTCGATCTTGAGGAACTGGCTCTCCTGGGTGCTGGAGCCCAGGTCGCGGTCCGACTCCAGGTAGTAGAGGTTGAAGGTCTCCTTGCAGGTGCCCAGCACGCCGGGCATGCTGTTGCAGTCGCGCAGGGTGAACTTGATCTCGGCGTAGACGCGCCGTGCGCCGTCGCGGGGCACCCAGCTTGTGCGCAGCCAGTTGTTCTGGTTGGGGCTCATGACGTTGCACACCTGGTACGTGTGAATGGGCTGGAAGGCCTCGTCCACCTCGTTGATGGAGTCCCACTGTGGAGAGAACACAGCCGCTGAGGGGCGATCCGGGGCCTCTCCTGCCAACACCCCCCCACCACCACCAGGGCCGCACGTGCTGGGGAGCCGGCCTTCTAGTGGGTTCTCCCAGCTGCCGGGTGCAAGGCACCTGCAGCCGTGACTGCGCGGGGCGCCACAGGCCCCCCCGGGAAGAGCCGCCAGGCGCCTGCCCCGCCGCTCACACCCAGGCCATTGCAGCCATTGGGGGAGTGAACTAGCAGGTGAAAGATCTCTCTCTCTCTCTCTCCCTCTCTCTCTCTCTAACTCAAATTAACGGGAGGGAGGGAAACTATAATGATTCAACATGGATGACCCTGGAAACATCAGGGGCGAAATGAAGCAAAAGTCAGAAACCAAAGCCCAGACCCGTGCGGGGGCGCTTATGTGAGTGACTCCCAGCGCCTGGCGCCCCGCGGGGGTGGGGGTGGGGGTGGGCAGCTGCGGAGCCGGCCCAGGTGAAGGCTTGGAGGCTGTGAGGGCCACGCAGTCGTGTACACGCCCTGAATGCCGCTTAGAAACGGCCGAGATGTTAATTTCACGTGCATTTTACCACAGTAAAGAAAGACGGACCAGGGCACTTCAAGAAGTCCGTGGAAACGGACTGACAAGGTAAGTTTATCTTGATGCACAAAAATGTTGAAGAGTGTGCAGAGTTTTCCAGAATACAGATTCTCCATAAACTTCTGGAAAAGCCTCTCGCTTGCATAGATCTCAATATTTTTTGCACCAAAATAAACTGGTCTTTTAATTCTGTTTTCCATGACATTTCTCAGATGAGGGGCTGGACGGTGACCTCTGGGGCGGTGGGAAACCAGCTGGGGGGTGGGGTGGAGAGTCGCAGGTGATCCCAAGGCCTCCTGGCTGCGGGCACCTGCATGTGCCACCTGCCAGCCTGGCGCTGGGCTGGAGCGGGCTCCCCTGGTAAGAGGACCCAGGCCCAGGAGGGCCCAGTGCAGCCCTGGCCAGTTCAGGCCTCCTGAGGAAGAGCCAGGGCCGAGGACAGAAGCCAGGGGCAGGCTCCACCATGGAAGCCCCGCCTTGACCCTCTCCCCTGGACCTCCACCTGCACACGCCCTTGAACTAGAGATGCCACTGCTTAAAGGAGGAGGGGCCGAAGAGCGCTGCTCAGGACGCCGTGCGCCGGCCCTGCGCGGGGTGGAGGCTGTGCCCATCTCAAGCCCACTCCCTCGGGTCCCTGCCCCTCCACCCAGCCCTGTCTCTGCCAGGCGCGCGGGCCTGACCCTCGGTGCCCATATCTGTAGAGCAGGGGGCAGACGAGGCCCGAGAGGATGTCAGGAGAAGACGCCTGCCAGGTGCCCTGCTCCGGCCTGGTGCAGGCGGCACCTGGCTAATGGCACTGCTCAACTGGCAGGGTCTTCCCGGCCCACCTGGCCGCCTCCAGGGACCTCAGGGAAGGGGGTCCCACTTCCCAGGGGCCCCAGGGAGTGCCGGCCTCACCCAGGAGTTTCTTGCGCCCCACCCCCCACCCCAGGAAGGACCCCTGCCCCACACTCCACTCCGCAGCCGGGCCTCCAGCAGCCTGTGTCACATCTGGGTTTAAAGTCATTGTCACAATTAATGGAACACCGAAGAGCCTGCCAGCTGCTCCCTGTCTGTTTCCTGCCAGGGGCCCAGATAAATTAATCAGCTCGATCTGAGTCCGCTCCAGCCTCCCCACCGGTGCCAACGGCCCGGCCCCGCCCTGCCAGCCCCAGGAGCTGCTGCACACGCCTGCGGTGGCACGGACGCGGAGGCCTGGCACAAGGGCAGGATCAGCCCTGTTCTGGGGACTCCACCTCGCGCTGGGTGCCAGCAGACTGCTCTGCCAACACAGAACCTGCGGACCAGCTGCACGGCCCTGGGAACACCACGTCCCCTCTCTGAGCCTTGGGCCTCCCAGCTGTGAAATGGGCTGCTCGTGGTGCTGGATCCTTCCAGGTGCTCCAGGGGGTGGTGAGGATCGGGTGAGACGAAGGGAATGAACGGACCCCCCCCCCCCCGGCGGCGAGTCCTGGCACAGGGAGGGGCCCAGAAGCAGAGGGAGGGACACAGCCCAGCCGAGGGCACCGACTTCCCTTCACCCTGGGGGAGCTGCGGAAACTCTCGGGGCTTCTGGCTTCCCACTGGGAGGAAGCCCCTTGTGTGGCTCCGAGGACCCTGCGCGCAGCGGGTCCTGGGCTCGGCCAAGGAGACGGACGTGAGCAGAGCCTGACCACTGCGTGATTTTCCTACCCTGGAGGTGACGTGGGAGCCTCTGTCAAACAGACCCCCAGGTCAGAGAGGGGACGGAGCCTCAGGAGCCCCTCCCCATTGAGCAGGACAGGCACCTGCAAAGCTTGCTACCCAGAGACCCCCGGGCCCTTGCCAGGCCTCCTGGACGTGGACGCTCTCGGGCTTTGCCTGCTAACCGGCCTGGGTCCCAGGGCTCGAGTCTGAGAACCAGGCGCCTCGTCACAGCCTTCTTCCCTGTCTCCGCCGCCCCCATCTCCGGGACGCGGCCAGTCCCCAGCTCAGCGGACAAACCAGGACTGCCGCCCTGCCAGCACCACAGGACACAGACCGGGCCTCCCCACTGCACGCGCAGGGCGGCACGTGGCACTCGGCAGGGACTCCAGGCCCAGAGGGAACGGAGTTACAGCCCCAGCCGCCCTGGGCCCATCTGATGTCAGGCCCACTCTTTCTCACTGCCCTGAGCCCCTGGGCGGCCACGTGGACCCCGAGGACCGGTTGTGAGGATGAAACGAACCCTCCGGGAGTTGAGAGCTCTGTGAGCGCAAGCTGCGTGTTCTAATGCCAAGTGCACCCGGGGCTCCCGGAGCCGGGCTCCACGGCGTCCTGTGAACACAGGGGCCTTCGTGGACTGGGGTGACCACCTCCTCACCTGCTTAAAACCCTGACATAGGGCCGGCGCTGTGGCACAGCGGGTAAAGCTGCCGCCTGCAGTGCCAACATCCCATTGGGGCTACTCCACTTCCCATCCAGCGCCCTGCTAATGCCCCTGGGAAAGCAGTGGCGGATGGTCTAATCCCTTGGGCCCCTGCACCTGTGTGGGAGACCCTGAAGAAGCTCTTGGCTCCTGCCTTGAGCCTGGCCCAGCTCTGGCTTTTGTGGCAGTGTGGGGAGTGAACCAGCAGAGAGAAGACCTCTCTCTGCCTCTGCCTCTCTGTAACTCTGCCTTTCAAATAAAAAATAAATAAATAAAAACACTGATGATTCCATAGTGCCCTAAAACCAAATCCTGAGCTCTGCAGGGGCAGACACACACCCAGAGCCAACCAGGCGCCAGGTGCAGCCCGTCCTGGCTGCTGGGACTCAGGGAAAATCCAACTGAGCCAGGAGCCCGGTGGTCAGTGTGGGACCTGGCCCCGGCCCAGGGCCGGACCCCTTCACAGCCCCGCTTCTCGCTGGCCACGGCCGCAGCCAGGAGCACTTCCTGGAGGCACCTGCTCAGCCTGCAGCCCAGGGCACAAGCCGCAGGCTCCCTCCTGGCTCTCGGACCACAACGATCCGGGCCTTACCCCTGCGGCTCCCTGAAGCGCCCATGGGTGCAGCCACACTGCCGGTGATGAGCGCCCCTGAGGAGCAGTGGGGCCACGTCCTGACCTCTGGCCACAGGCCACCAATGGCCCGGATGAAGACCCTACCCCAAAGCCAGGAAAGCCCCCGCTGGGCCTGTGACGCTGGCGTCCCCCATGAGCACCAGTTCCAGTCCTGGCTGCCCACGTTGGATCCAGCTCCCTGCTCCTGCGCCTGGGAAAGCAGCAGAGGCTGGCCCAAGGGCTTGGGCCCCTGCACCCACGTGGGGCACCTGATGGAGTGCCAGGCTCCTGGCTCCTGGCTTCACCCTGGCCCGGCCCCAGTCGTTGCAGCCATCTGGGGACTGAACCACTGGATGGAAGACCCCTCCTCCTCCTCTCTCTCTCCCTCCCTCCCCCTCTCTCTCTCTTCCTCTCCCTCCCTCTCTCTGTCTGTCTCTCTGCCTTTCAAATAAACAAATCAATCTTAAATAAAAGGCCCCTTCAGTCATGTTAACTCGTGGTATTGTGATCACTGTCATTGTTAACAGTTTCATCCCCTCGTCCCCAGAGCCGTGGCAGCTGAATGTGTCCAGGAGAGAAGCCAGGTGTGTGCTCACACACACACACACACACACACACACACACACCTGCAGTGGAATGTGGGTGTGTGGGTCAGAAGTGGGCATGTCTGCAGTGTGTGTGTGGGGAGGGGTGGAATGTGTATATGTGTATGTGTGTGTGTGATGTGGGTGTGTGTGTGAGGTCTGCAGTGTGTGTGTGATGTGGGTGTGTGTGTGAGGTCTGCAGTGTATGTTGTGTGTGGTGTGTGTGTGAGGTCTGCAGTGTGTGTGTGATGTGGGTGTGTGTGTGAGGTCTGCAGTGTGTGTGTGGTGTGGTGTGTGTGTGTGAGGTCTGCAGTGTGTGTGTGATGTGGGTGTGTGTGTGAGGTCTGCAGTGTGTGTGTGATGTGGGTGTGTGTGAGGTCTACAGTGTATGTTGTGTGGTGTGTGTGTGTAAGGTCTGCAGTGTGTGTGTGTGAGAGAGAGCACACCGATGGGGGGAGGTGCTCGCTCTGGACACTGTGCGGGACCACAGCACAGGCCTGTGCTGACGGAGGGCTCCCCGTGTGAGCAGACGGGCCGGGCCGGCTCGCTCGCTCTCCGCCAACCCTGGAAGCAAAGCCAGAGCACAGCACAGGCTCATCCCTTACAGACGCTGGGCAAGGTGACGTGGCGACCCGGGGGCCCCCAGCGTGGGCAGAGAGCAGGGCTGGGGTCCCGCCAGGCTCAGGGCCGCACTGCCAGCCCCCAGGATCAGAGGGCCTGGTGCCCCAGGACGGTGGGAGGGGGCGTCCTGGCGAAGCCTAGCGTGGTGAGGGCCCCTCCCCGCCGTGGTTCTGCAGGGAAGGCTGAGCAGCTGGGAGGCAGGGGACTGATCCCGAAGACGGGCAGGCCCGGCCTTGGCACGCTGAGAACCTCCAGCCCCACGGCTCCGCCTCTGGCTGCTCTGCGTCCTTGGGCAGCCGCCTCCCGTCTCTGGGCCTCCGCTCCCCTTAGAGACTCTGCTATAGCCCTGCCTCAGCTCAGACAGCTGCCGCCACTCCATCACTCACCCCGTGAGCCGGATACGTGAGCCAGCCCCAGTCCCCGTGGATGGTCGACGTGTCCAGCAAGTTCACTGCAAAACAGGAGACAAGGGAGCATCAGGCCCCTGGGACCCCTGCCCAGCTGGGCCCAGCCCCCACCACCGCGGCTCTACCTCTCTGCCTTCCTCACTTCAAGTTCCCTTCCTTGAAACCTTCCTCCGCCGCCACAGCCAAGGCCATGGTCCAAGCTCCTGGAACTCGAGCCGCCCTGGGTGCCAGCCTGCCTCGGATGGGCAGGGGCTGGAGACAGGGAGGTGGGCTCAGTCCGGCACGTGAGGGTCAGAGTCCCGGTTCTGCGGTTTAGGAGCTGTGTGTCCGCGGGCAAGTCCCCTGGCCTCCCTGAACCTCAGTCTCCTCATCTGTAAAATGGGGCCCTGTGACACGATGGCTTTCAAACGTCGCAGGCGCGGAGCCTCCCTCACTCCCGCCCGGGCACCAGCCCCGGCTTTATAACCACCCGTGTCCCCCAGGACGGCGCCCGGTGTCTCAGGTCCTCTGCACATCCGACCTGGAGAGATTCTGAGGAGCAGGTAGGTGCCTCTTAGTGAGCACCTACCGCGTGCTGATCTCCGCAGGGGGAGCTTGGGATGTGTGACGCCCACAGCAACGCCCGGGCGGTCACCACTCTCTCCAGGTTACAGACGGAGGAACTGGGCCCGGACTTCACTCCGCCTGGAGCCCTACAGATGCAGCTGGCTGGGCTGAAGCTCAGGGCGCCTGCTGCGGCAGCCCCAGGCACCACTGCATCCCCGGAGGCCCGGGCCCGGCAGAGCCCTCTGAGCAGTCCTCACGGTGGGGAGTCCGGCCGCATGCCAGGGGAACCCCCTCCCTCAGTCTCAACCACACAGGAAAGGAAAGGGCCCCCCGGTGGGGTCAGACACGCGGGCTCCTATCCCGACACCGCTGCTTATGCACAAGCGACCTTCGCTTCTTTGGCCTTAAGTTTTCTCATCTGTACAATGGGCTAACGACACCCAAGGGTGAGACGCCCAAGCGAGTGCCGGCTCCATGCTGGTCTTTACCAAGGCTGGCAGCTCTTCTCCAAGCCCTGGCCTTCCGGCCTCTCCACATCACCGGAGCCGGCTGCTCCCTCACGCTGACAAAGGGGCACCTGTGTTTAGACGTCAGGGCTCCACCCAACCCCAGCTCTGTCTCTGAGTGTCCTGGGGCAGGTCCCTGTACCTCTCTGGGCCCCAGCTGGTGACAGGTGCAGGAGCAGTTTTTGGCTCCATTTCACTGTCTCCCAGTCATCGGCAGGGTCCAAACCAGGGACCTCGCAGGACTGCCCGCCGCGGGGCGGGGCGGGGGGGGGGGTGTCCTTGTGCCCGAGCCTGGCCCCGCGACACGGAGACAAGCACTGGGAAGAGGATGCTTTCCATCTCCCAGCCTCCCTACTCCTCCTGCAGGGGCCCCAGGAGGCGGCTGGGGAGGGGCCTGGGAGAGCCTGGGAGGGGGCTGCGTGGGACCAGGGGAGGCAGCGGGCATGGATGTCCACCAGGGACCTCCCCGGCCCGAGCCAGCCCCACGCCAGGGGCATGGGCGGAGGGAAGAAGGCTTCCCGCCTCCCTCCTGCCTCCCTCTCAGGCAACATGGAGAAAACTGGGTCAGGCGCTCGCTCCTCCTGCTGGCTGGGGAGGGGGAGGGGAAGGGGGAGGGGAAGGGAGGGGAGGGGAGGGGAGGGGAGGGGGGGAGGGGGAGGGGCTGCATGGCAGGACCCAGCTGGGGAGAAGGGGGGAAAGCACGCCATGCGCTCTCCCACCCCCAGCCCATCCCTTGGGGTCCTCTCTGGGCTGGAGGGGTCCGGCCCCCAGCACAGCCTGGGGACAGCTCAGCTTGCAGATGCCACCCCCGGGGGCCACCCCAGCGACTGGCCATCCTGAGCACCCCGCCTTCCTGGGGGGCCCCACCAGCCGGGGGCTTGGATAAGCCAAAGCTAAGGCAAAAGTCAATTCTATCGGATTCCAGGAGGGCCGTAGGATTTCCTGGCTGTTTGTTTCCATCCTTTTCAGACCCTTCTCTCCCTTTCTCTCTCCTTGTCCCCAGCTTCCTCCGAGGGTGGCAGAGCCAAGACTCTGGAGCGAAGCCCAGGCCCACGGTGTGGTCAGGGCAGGAGGGGATCCGACGTCAGGCCCGCCCAGCCAGGCCAGGCCAGCATTCCCTCGGGCACTTCCGGCCACCATGGCCAGCCTCCCTGGCATTGCCCACCTCAGGGCCTGGCCCTCACAGCCTCACGGGCCCTTCAACGAAGCCAACCACCGAACCCCTCTGTGCCTCAGTCTCCCCACCGAGAAGATGTCCTGGGGCATCCCTCCTGGGCCACCCGCCCGGGCTGCTCCGGGGACGTCAGCCGGGCCCCTTGCACGCTCCGAGCAGCACCGATAATTCCCAGGCCGTCCCTGCTCCTCCGTGGAAGGCATTATGTGATGTCTTTTTTTTCTCTGGCACCGTCACCTTCCCCCAATCCATTTCGCTGAGCCTAATACTTAAATTGATTTACATTCCCCGAGGACACCGTGCGATGGTGAGGCTGGAGGATTTGGGGTGGTCAGGGGATGTCCGCCAGGATGGGAGCGCCTTGGAGATCATCCCAAAGCGGAGGGGACTCCACTCCCAAGAGCAGGAAGCGGCCTGCTGCCTGGCCAGGCTCCGAGGCCCCGACCCTTCACCAGCCCACGCTGGCCCCGCATAGCTGGGCCCCAGCTGCCAACAGAGCCCCTTCCAAGTTCCACCATCCTCCCTAGCCACTTAGGGTTCTGCACCAGCCAAGGGACAATGCAGGGACGGACATGCGCATGTCCCACGCGGCGTCAGCAGCCCTGTGTCCTCCCTGTGGCTTGCTGTGGGGTCCAGATCCACCGGCCCTTCCACAACGCCTCCCCTGCCCACAGTGTCCCGCTGCCTCTCGTCCCCAACTGCTGCCGCTCCCACGGACGGGCACACGTCCTCTTCCCAGGCATGCAAGCCGGAGCAAAGTCCCTCCCGGAGGGGAGTGGGGAGGTGGGGAGCTGCAGGTGCCTGACCAGACTCCCAGAGCCTTGCTGTCGCTTCCTCAGAATCCTGCCGTCCACCCACCTGCCCCCTGCAACCCTGGGAAAACTGTCCTCCCAAGCCACAGCTCAGGACCCCTGGGCGCCCTTGCTCCAGTCCTGCCCTCCTCCCCCTCCCCCAGCACTGGGCTCTGCCATCCTCCGGCTGCCTCATCCCCTGCCACCCCAGCTGGCCCTCGCACCTGTCAGCAGCCTGCAGTGGCCCCTGCTCCCTGCTGGGCCCCAGCTTCAACAGAAACTGGGGTTTCATCTATGTCTGTGTGCTCCTCTGCCCCTTCCTTTCGGTGGGCATGAATAAGAGTTGGAGGTCTCCTTGCATACATGATGTAGACATGTATCCACAGATGTGCACACATGTGCGAAAGTGCACATGTGCTTGGCTACATTTCTGGGTACAGGCCTGTGTGTCATGTTACGGCGGTAGGGTCTGTCTGTGCATTGAATCGCCTCCACCCTGGGTCTACACGTGTGGACCCCGGGGCGCGTGTGCGTGTGTGTGCAGGGTGGGGTCGCTGTGAGCTGTGTGTGTGCGGGTTGGGGGTGGATCTGCACTCCTGCTGACCGTGGAGGAGCGACGCTGGCCCCACAGCTCGCTTGCATCTGGAAGTTCATCCTGCCAGGGCGAGGACCGGCTCTGGACCCTGGACATCAGCCCCGGCATCCTGCAGCCGAGCGCCAGGGTTTGCTCGCTCCGGCAGTGCTGTGGAGCAGGGGCCCAGGCGGCATGATCCGGCTGGCCCTGGAGCCCCTGGTGGGGGGACAGAGGTGTGTGTAGGTGGGGAGTCCCAGGTGCCCCCCCCCCGGCTCTCCCTGCCACCCCCCACCGGGGCAGGAGACACTCCCAGACATTTCTGGTCCCTATTAGACACTGCGTACAACCTCTGCCGCTCCTGCCCCTCCCTCCCCAAAGGCCACCCTGAACAAGACCCTGCTCTCCCTGGCCCTGCCTCCCCAGGGTGCCCACCCCTGCAGCCGGCGCTCCTCCACAGTCCCTTCTTCTCCCCCGCTCCCCACTCTCAAGACCCTCATTCCCTGCCCCTCCTTCCTGGCCCCTAAGCCCTATCTGTCCCCTGGCCCCTGCCTCTCTGAGCCATCCCCTGCCCCCTCTTCTTTGAGCCCCTGAACCCTGTCCTCATCCTCCTGTCGACAGCCGCGACCCCAGTGCCTGCCACTCTGCTCTCTGTCCTCTGTCCCCTGCCCTCTGTCTGCTCCGGTTCCTCCTCCACAGCCGTCCACTTGTCTTCTGTCCAGCCCTGCGCCCCCTCTCCCGTGCCGGCTTCTCAGTGCCCTGGCCCAGCTCCGCTCCGGCCCCCACCCTGGTCCCCGTCCCGTCCCTCCCACCGACCGCCGGTCCCCAGCCCCATCGCTCTGTCCCGCAGTCCCAGGTCTCTCCCGCGGTGCCATCCCTGCCCCCAGGGCGACAGATTCCGGACGTTCCCGAGCTCAGGGTCGAGCAGAGAAGTTGAGCCGCAGGCAGCGCGCGCCGCGCCCCCAGCCCCTCGCCGCCCCCGCCCCGCCGCCGCCGCCGCCGCCGCCGCCGCCGCCACTGTCACCGCTCACCTTCGCCGCGCGCCGCGGACACGCAGGTGGCCGCCGCCGCCGCGGCCGTGACGACCCAGAGCGCGGGGGGCAGGCGGCCCCGGGCGGGGGCCATGGCAGGCCGGGCGGGCGGGGGCGCCGCGCACCCTGGGCTCGGCCGCGGCGGCCCGCGCGGCGGCGCGCTCGCTGGCTTCCCGCACCGCCGGCGGCCGGGCGCACACACCGGCGCACACGCGGCACACAGCGCACACGCGGGCACCCGCGCCCGCCGCCGCCGCCGCCGCCGCCCCGGGCAGGGAGGGGGGCGGCCCGTCACGGCGCCGAGCCAATCAGCACCGAGGCGGGGGGCTCGCGCCAGCCCCGCGGACCCCGGGCCGCGGACCCCGCCGCCGCCGCACGTGCGCACGCTCACTCACGCGCTCGCACCTGGGCGGCCGCACGCGGGCTCGGGCCGCCGACCCTCCGGCCCTCCCGGGGCGGATGGACGCTCGGGTGCCGCACGCCCACCAGCCGCCGCTCGCAGGCGCGCGGGTGCACACGCAGTAGTTCACGGGCAGCCTGGAACTCAGAGGAGGGACTCTTGGGTGGAAAATCGCTCTCCCTTCCCCCACCGCAAGGACTGGCGGGTTTTTGGGAGGCGTCGGAGTGGTCACGCGTGCCGGCTCAGGGACCAGACTTACGGTGTAAGTCCTAGCTCTGTGGCCCTAAGCAAGTTTCCCAGCCTCTCTGAGCCTCGCTCGACTTCCTGTCTGTAAAACAGTATCTCTGCCCTAGGGTGGTTGTGCGAGGCAGCGGGCACTCAGCCGAGCAGCAGCGAATCCTGGCACCTGCTCTCAGGCACGGAGACGCTCGCTCATCCCCTGCTCCGCCTGCACTGACTTGCCCCACCTCCGCCCCCTGCCCAGGCAGGGTCTCATCCTGGAAGACTACAGGGCCGTGAGGGAACACAGGGATGTAGGTCCCCAGGAGGGACCCCACTCACTCACTGTCAGACCCCAGGTGCACCTGCTGAACCAATGAGTGTGGGAAGCAGGTCAGAGCCACACCTTCAGCCTCCTGTCGACTGGCCCTGGCTGGGGGTGGGGGGCCAGAGGACAAGCCCCTGACTTTGCCTTCAGCTTCTCACTGGCACAGACCATCATTGGGCCCTCTCCACCTCCCAGCTCTGGTGGTCACCAGGGAAAAGTCGGACTTATGGCAGGAGGTCACACAGGACGATAAAGGCCGTTTGGGGGACACTGGCCAAATGCCAGGTCCTGCCCTAGATGCACACCGACTGGCTCTGGTTAAACCGCAGGGGAGGTGCAAGCCAAGGACCGGGAGCTCAGAACAGCCAGGGTTTGCCTTGGATCCCATGGTTGGCCAGATCCTGGAGAGGTGCCCAGGTCCAGAGCTGGCTGACTCCCAAGCCCGTGTCTTCGCTCTGCGTCTTTCTTCGTTACATCCTCCTAACAGCACAGACTGCCTGCCTCATGGAGTGAGCCTCCTGTCAGCGGAGGCATCCAAGCAGACACCAAGCAGATCGTTCAGGGTTGCCGAGGGGAACAGAGGGGCACAAGGAACAGATTGGCCTAGACCCAACATGGCGAGCTCAAGTGCCCGCCCAAGACAGGCCGGTGCCCTGGTGACACCAGCTGGGAGAGTGTACCCAGCTCCGGGCAACACTGGCCATCTCCCACCTCTTCAAGAGCAGTTGTACATAGATGTGATTTTCACGTGGCACCTCCTGATTCTGAAAGTTGGTGGCTAACGCGGACGTGTGCATCACTCTGCAGGGCGTCAATGCCACAGCCTCCTTCGGGGAGCCTCAGAAGCGGGGAGTCCCTGGCTGGGGGCTCACTCCTGGGGCGCGCAGGTGCAGACAGCGGTGGAAAGCAGCGGTCACAGGCTTCTCGTACCCCAGCAGGGGCTCCTACGGGTATGAGTTGCTGGGGGAAGCTTTGCTGGGGCTTGGGGCTCGGGGTCCCCTGGCCGAGGTGGGGTTTGCCCATTTCGTAGGTGAAGAAGTGAGCTTTCTGGAGCCGAAGGGCCTGGTGACCACGAAAGACGGCTCTCCATGTTCCAGATCCCCAGCAGCCATGCATGAAATTCACTCCGCAAACCGCTGTCGCCTAGCCCATCGCGACACTCCCAGGCTGCCCCAGCGCGGCACTGCCGGCTCCCTCCCACCCCTGCCCCTCTGCTGTACTGGGTTTCAGTCTGCAGCAGGAAGGAAGAAGCCATCCGATCCCACCGACCAACCAACGGATCGACCAGGCTACTGGAGACAGGCAGAGAAACTTGCCCTGTCGGGGGATGGGCCGGTGCTGGAGGAGGGGCAGGGTCCCTGGGGGCGGGGCTTGCCCAGCTTTTCATTCCCTGGGCGCCTTCCAGGCTGGACTGCACAGCCCTCTTCTCATTGGAGCCCTGCCAGGTAGGATTTACCCATTTTAAAGATGAGCACAGCGAGGTGGATGGGTAGACGGCGTGAGAAAGCCCGAGTGGTGTAGCTATCGTGTCTCCTCCTCCCCATTGGACTGCTCTGTGTTTTTATCTTTAGATTTCTATTTATCCCCGCGGCAGAGAGAGAGAGCTCCCATCCCCTGACTCACTCCCCAGGGGCTGGGGCTGACCGGGCCAAGCTGGGCGGCTGCCAGGAGCTGGGAACTCCGTGCAGGTCTCGCACGTGGGTGGCAGGAACCCAGTTATGTGAGCCCTCCCCGCCGCGGGAGCTGGAGTCAGAAATGGAACCAGACTCTGATGTGGGCTGGCAGCGTCTTATCCACCAGCTCGATGCCCGCTCCCCTGTTCCCCTGCCCGGTTGGGAACTGCTTGTGGCCAGAGGCCATGGACCGGTGACAACGCCAGGTTCTCCGGTGCCCTGGGCACGTTTGCTGACTGGCTCAGCCACCGGATGGGCGCTCATCCAAGTGTGCCAGGTGTGTGTGGCTGAGGCAGTTGCGGAGTCACGGGCGGCTCTGTTTCTGGGTCACAGCTCCAGTGGACTTGACCTGAACTCTCCAAGGGGTGACTGTGAACGGTACTCACCCTTCCCCGTCAGCACACTGGGCCCGGGATACAGGGGTGGGGATGGCAGGGCTGCCCCTCCTCCCAGTTGGTCCTTCGGTCCTCACATGCCCTGCCATGGGAGCCACAGGGGGCATCAGACAGAACCCTCCCAGGAGTATTTCTTCTCAGTTTCCCCAACTACAAAGATGAGGAGGAGGCCACCGACCCAAAGTCTTGCTGTGACGGCTTGCCTGGGTGGGTGATGTGCTTGGGCACCACCGGGGCAGGGCATGGACAGCCTTTAAAGGTGGAGCTGGAGCTGAGCCAGTGACCCACCCAGGGCCCCGTTTTGGGCACAGGTAGGAGATGGGTGTGTATGTCAGCCTGTGGGCTGGGGGCGGGGGCAGTGGCTAAATTCCCAGTTGTACTTGAGCCATGCTGTCCTGGACACCTCGTGGCCCCAGCAGGGTCCGGGCCCCCACAGAGAAGCCCCCGCCCCCAGCCCAGAGCAGGCTTGCTTCACCCCCAGAGGGGCCTGGAGGGGGCAGGGCATCCCTAAGCTTTGCCCACAAATCTCTCCTCGCCCCTGGCTGGAGAACAGAGCCTCTCCATGCCCCGTGCCTCAGTTTGCCAATCTGTAAGGTGCTGCCCGGGGTGCACCCAGTGCATCCAGTGTTGTACGGCGGGAGCTGGCACAGTGCACGGCTGGTGCTGGAGTTCCCAGGCCACCAGACCTGACCTTGCCCTGCAGGTGAGGAAGAGGAGAGCTGTGCTGGGGCAGCAACACAGCGGGCGCCCCAGGCATCAGCTACATTTTGTCTAGTGTCTGCTAAAAAGTGAGATAAAGCAGAAAGATTATATATATATATATATTTGTGGACTGCACAATGCTGGTGTGTGGTATAATTGATTAATCAAGTCACTAATCAACAACCACGAATTAGGCACCCTGTGTGTCCCTGAGCCAGGTGACGGGCCTGGTCCCGTGCTCTATCCAAGAGCGTTGGTGTGACAGGGAGGCTGATCATTAAACAATTACAAAGTCCCCTTCGACATAAAGGAATATTCCAGAAGCTGCAGGCACCAAAACGTGAAATAAAATTTACAATTTAAAATATTTCCCAAAAAAGTCCTTTATAAGCATAAAAAAAAAAAACCTGAATGCAATCGAGCCCTTTCTCTGTGCCTCCAAGTCATCGACTCTGATAAAGACTCACTGACTCTCGAAAGGACGGAGAGATGCGTTAGCCCCCACCGCCGCTGGGCACGTGGTCGGGCAGAGCGGCCCCGCACCCTTGCTCGGAGACCCCAGGCCATCGGCTTCCCCAGTGCCTCCGTCCCTTCCCTCCCACCCCGGCCGCCGTCTAATCTCCGCCCGCCAGTTCCCAAAAGCCTCCTAAATTGCTGTTGAGAATTAAGAGGACAAGGTGTGAAGACCCCGCGGTTCTGGGAGGGGGAGAGGCTCCCCGGGGTGAGCACTGACCTGGGCGCCCGGGATGGTGGCTGTTCCGGGCCTGTCCCCAGCTGTGCTCGGGTCGGAGGGCGAGCGAGGTGTTGCTAGAAATACGTAAGAGGCTTATTAATGGCCGGGCACGCGCAGACTAATTGCTTCCTCCCGTTTACACATAATCAATCACTACCTCCGTTTGGAGTGGAAAGACTGGACGCGGGCGGGCCTGGGGCGGGGGGGGGGGGTCGAGGCTGCTCCATCCCTCACGTTCCAGGCTTTCCTGGAACACCCCCCCGGAGGTGTCACTGCCTGCCTTGCTTCCTCTCAAACCTCTCCAACGGGCTCCCCGCGGTCCCCCCATAGGCACACCCGGGCCTCTCCCAGTGCCACGGGGCCCTCAGTGGCTCAGGCCAGGAGCCTGGACTTTGTCCGCCCCTGCCTCCCACCTCCAGGGGCCTCTGCGGAACCGGCTTGCCCACAGCCACGACCCCAGCCGCTGTCTGGGCCCCGCCCCTCTTGCTGGGGCATCTTCGGTGGCTACACCTCTGTTCTCGGTGCACAGAGAAGCTGTTCGGTGCCTCAGATCACGGCCCCGCAGCCCCACGGCCTCCCCTCCCCTGCACAGAACCCTTCCGGGGGTCTCCTGTTGCCCTGTCTGGATAAAGAGCCACATCTGCATC